TGTGCTTTGTTCTGTCTCCCGTCAGCCATATCATATCGAGTCTCAGTTGGGCGGCACTAAAACTTAAACATGACTGGTTCACACACACATATATCATCTATAAACTGACTAACCCAGACAGCTGAGTCATCATTTGTTGACCTGCAGATTCTGGTTGTCAGGTCAGCTTAGGACATGAGCAGGAAAATGGTTAATCTGTCTGATTAACCGCAAGGCATGAATGCGGTGCCCTTTCGCTTTGTAAAAGTGGATTTTTTTTTCCTGCTTGCCTGGACCATGGAGTTTTTCTTAAACAGAAGGTGTAAAGATAGCTAATCTACAAGTAAGAGAATAAAATATTTTATTTTATTTGGTAAAGAGCTGTGTAATGAGTGGGATAATGTACAGTCAGCTGGTTGTTATTAGCAAGTAAACAAATTTAGGCTGATACAAAACCCCACTGTTTCATGCCTGAGTCTTAATCACCCTGTTGGGGGGGTTTTTTGAGACAGACTGACAGGCAAGGTAGCAGCTATTAGTCATTTTTACTAATGATTAATGACATGGGCTGTTATGATGTTTGAGTCTGGCTGGATGGTTCAGTTCAGCGAATAGTTGTTCCTAAGAGCTTCATCATGATTTAACCAGGCACCGAGAGTGAGAAAGAGGCAGACCCCCTGCTGAGATCACATTACACAGACAGACAGATACAGAGAATATTTTAGCAGGCGTTTATTGCAGTCGTTTTAGTGGTTTTCAGCATGGCTGCTGTTCAGCCTATTCATCAAACTCTGTGTGTATTAGGACTGAGAGTCTCCAAAGGTGGAGTGTTCTGTGTCCTAATGTGATTCTACGTCTGGTTCAGTTTGTTAGTATTTTAGTTGGGTTATTATCATTTTTGTTTGTTTGGTTGGTTGTTTTTTGCACTGATATTAAAATTCTTGGCAATACCGACATTAATAAAAAGTCTATTCGGCATATGTAAGTCAATTTAGTCGGCATGTTTTGGTGTTTTAGGAGGAGGTTTTCCTCTGTGGTTCTAACTGATGATAGGGATAGACTATCATCAGTTATGATAATAGTCATTGATCCGGACCAAAACTGACAATGATTTTCTGTAATTTTATTGGCCAAAAATTTTATCTTTTTCTCTAAACAACTTGAATCTCAGAAATGTAAAGAATTTCTTCACCAAAGGAAGCACTCAAAATTCCAGGGACATTTTGTTATTACATGAGCTCATTTTTTTGAGTTAGCATCTTAAATAAAAATGGTCTGTAAGGGAAAACTTTTTTTTCCCATAGGAACTGATCAACACCAATGAACCTCTTGCACGTAAAAGAATGGTTCAGTTTATATTTGACTTATTGGTCGTATCTTATTGGTTACCTGTTTTTTTTATTTTTTTATTGGTATTTGTTCATTATTGTATATATATACCTTTGCCATCATCTAACAAGTTTTAAAGTTACTTTTTAAAACACTTAAATAACTTAATACTGTTAAATATAATCTTTAGCCAGTCTCAAAATAAATAAATTTAATGCTGTACATTATAATATTGTGATTTCTAAATTTACTTGTAGCATTTAAATGGCAGATTAGTATTGAATTTTAATTTCCGCAGTTTATTGTTAGCAGTCATAACATGAAAATAATGACTTTATACTGAATTATAGAATTTAGAAAAGAATAGTTGCCATTAGGTTTGCAATGTCAATATTTTTAATTCTTTATTATAATAATAATAATTTATATATCTATATATAAATATATAATTTTAACTTTGGTCAGTATATGTCAGGATATTTTAATATAAGTTGATAATTAAAAAATAATTTGATTTTTTTTTTTTTTTTCGTCCTTCGTCTGAACAAAGCCTTAGATTCATGGTTTGTTCACACTCGACTGTGAGAAGAGAACCACTTAGGAAAGGGACCCATAGAGGAGCAAAGAGATAACAATGAAGAAAAGTCAATCTAAACGTCTGGCAGATGTTCATCTGTTTTATCTGCGATGGCCATAGTAGTGTCCTGAAACGACCTCGGCTGACTGTGAGTGTGTCTCAGTCTTTGTTTGATTTGGATGGCGTTCTCCTGTTTCACGTGTGTGGAATATTATTTATTGTGTGCTGGATCCGTGCTCTCGCTGTGTGGCTTGCGGCAGGGGTCAGACAAGGTGAGGGCTTGCCGTGTTTCTAAGTAACACAGCCGATGTGTAGTCGGCAGTCTGAGCTCAGCGCGGCGTCCGCTGGGATGTCAGAGAGCTTTAAAGGTTGTCTGAGGACACGTACTGCCTCGTCTGTTGCTCTAGTCTTCTCCAAATGAAAATGGAGTTGTTCTTTTTTTTTGAGGCATTAAATCAATGATATTAAGCCACCGAAACATTAGCTGTGGCTTGATAACTCGGTGTCCAGTAAAGTGTGTTATGTAACAGTCATTAACGGCTGACGCTCCTGCTGGGGTTTGTAGACGCTAATGGGCATCTCTTCACAGGAACTTGTTGTTTTGTTGCTTGTAAAGATCTGCCGTAAGATCATAAAATGTTGATGTGTTGAACCCCTGCTGTTTCTAATTTTTGCTTAATGAAACACCCGTGTTGCGTTTGTGTCGGGTCTGTCTGTTTTTTTTATGTCTGTCTCAGAACTTGTCTGCCAGATCAGACAGCATCTTAGATGACTACATCTATGGTGGTATCCAGTAGTTTTCATTACTTTGAAAAACAATGGTTCAGGGTTAGTAGAAGGTACTTTGATATTGGTCTTGTTTTATTACTGTTTGAATATTTGGGGTCAGTATGATTGCTTATTTTTTTTAAAGAAATTAATACTTTTTTTTTCTTAGCAAGGCATTAAAGACATTTATGATACAAGAGATTTCTCTTTCAAATGCTATTTCCTTTTTTAGTGCATTTGCTCTTTTGAACTTTCTATTCATCAAAAAATACTGGAAACATTTATCAGCATTTCCTCAAAAATATAAGCAGCGCAACACTGATAATAATAAGAAAATAAGCATATTGGAATGATTTCTAAAGGATCATGTGACAGAATTAATAAACAAATTAAATCAAATTGTGTATCAAATGGAATTGTTCTCCATTTGAATTGAATCAATTGAATCAAATCAACCCAGTGAATCATTAATTGATTCGTTGTCAATCCCTACGCAAGATTCCACATACAGTGCCGTTCAAAAGTTTGGGATCAGTAAGATTTTTATGTTTTTTGTTTTTTTTTAAGAAGTTTCTTATGCTCATCAAGGCTGCATTTATTTGATCAAAAATACCGACATTTTTTTTTAATTTTGTGAAATTATTGCAATATTGCAATTGAAAATACAAATTTTCTATTTGAATATTCTTTAAAATAGGCCTATAATTTATTTCTGTGACGCAAAGATTAATTTTCAGCATCATACTCTGAAATTCTTTAGTGTCACATGATCCTTCAGAAATCATTCTAATATGTTGATTTATAATCAGTGTTGGAAACAGTTGTGCTGCTAAATATTTTTTGGGACCTGTGATACTTTTTTCAGGATTCTTTGATGGACAAAAAGTTAAAAAGAACTGTGTTTATTCAAAATAGAATTTATTTGTTACAATATACACTACTATTCAAAAGTTTGGGGTCAGTAATTTTTTTTCTTTCTTTTTCGTAAAGAAATTAATACTTTTATTCAGCAAGGATGTGTTAAATGGATAAAAAGTGATGGGAAAGACTTCTTTTTGAATAAATGCTGTTCTTTTGAACTTTTCAAAGAATCAAAGAAAAAAGTATAGCAGGTTCCAACAAATATTAAAAGGGACATAACACACAGTTTCACCCAATCTAATGTTAATCTTGAGTACCTATAGAGTAGTACTGCATCCTTCATATCTCTAAAAAGTCTTTAGTTTTATCATATTTATAAAAGAAAGATACTTCTTTACGATTTTCTCCGGAAAAGAGGCTGGAGGCACGCCATGGGCGGAGCTAAAGAGTGATGAGCACTTGAGCTCCAACTGCCAACAAAATACAGACATTTGATGCAGTTTCACTTACCGTCTGCAGTTCTGAATCATGACCGGGATCTTTTATAGCTGGGACGGCTCCATCTTTCAGTATCAAACGATGTGCTAATTCAGCACGGAACTGGACCTTGTTTATAAAACGTTCGTCAACAAAACACACTTGTGAAACTGCGTTGCTGCTCTGGAAAAACAAACTGCATCCACTGTTTACATAATGTTGGGTTCTTTAGGAAGCTGAACAGTTATCTTTCCCTTACCACCAAAAACACACTTCTTTAGAGACATTCTTCCCGAGCGAGTCCCATGCAGCGCTGCTGAATAAAGTGCGTTGATGGGCGCGCTCTTGCTCTCGATTTGTCGATGTGTGCGCGGGCGTGCTCTTCCGGGAGAAATGCCCATATAAGGAGTTCCACCCTCGTTTACGTCATGAAAAGCCACGATCGAAAAAAACTCTCCGAAACTTGTACGAACCCGGAAGTACGATTTTTAGCACAGAAATACTCCGTCATACATCCAAATTGTTTTTTAAAATTGTCCATGCTTAGCATGAGAATCCAACTCTTTAACAGTGTAAACAACTCTGAATGCATGAAACATCATTGTATCCCCCCTTTAAGCACCACAGCAGTTTCAACATAATCAGCATATTAGAATAATTTCTGAAGGATCATGTGACACTGAAGACTGGAGTAATGGTTTAAATTATATTTTAAAGTATATTAAAATAGGAAAGCAATATTAGAAATTACAATAATATTTCACAATATTACTAATATTTTTTCTGTATTTTTGATCAAATAAATACAGCCTTGATGAGCATAAAAGACTCCATTAAAAAAGCATTAAAATGGACTTTGTGAACAGCAGTTGTAGTACTAACTCCAGTAAAACAGCTGTAGTAAATCTTAGAGGAAACTATAGTGACCTTTTGTAAGTGAATTCTGCAAGTGAATTTTTGGTTGTATGCATTTCAGCCACACAACTGATTTTCTCTCTGTCTCTCTCAGTGAGCTTGCGGTCTGAAGGATGAGGTGGGGTGCATTGATTAGCATGCTGCTACGCTGAGAAGAGTTTATCCACCCAGGACGAGCGGCAGCAGCTACTGAATCCATTCCTGAATCGGCTTTTAGACACCTGCTCTGAATCAAGTACCTGTCTGGATCTTTCGCTCGCTCACTCTCACACAGCTATGGCTGGCTGGCTCTGGCTGGGAGGGTAATCGGTGCGCTGGTTGCCCTGGCAACCCCACCCTGATTCCTGCTGAATAGAGCCCTAGTCTGTCACTGAAGACTTTTTAGCCCCCCTTCACCTTTCTCCTGAGTTTATTTTGCCCTTTCGTGAAGGTAGAGGGCAGTGGCTGGAGCAGGATCCATGGACTTATGAGGTGAGAATGGCAGCACGGCGGCTGTTTGGCCCCCAGGAGCCCTCAGGCGATTGGAGCCAATAACGTGGGTCCACACACACGCATACGGGCCGAGCGGCAGGAGCAGTATGCAGGAGGCTGACCTACCGGCCACCAATGCTTTCACAGGTGAGCGGCGGATCAGGTTTATAACCTCAGTGCTGGAATTAAGCGGGATAATCGGTTGGCGTGAATGTGAGTTTAATGATTCATGCCAGCGGTGAAGATTATGTTCATAAGGAGGGTCATGTTGTGCTTTACAAACTCATGATGGTCTGGGTGTGTGTGTGTGCGTGTGCATGCGTGCTAATATTCAAAGCTGCTTTCTCACTCCCCCTCCCCTTCCCAGACTCCTCTGCTCCATTTCTCCGACAGGCTGCGTTTCTCTCCCCTGACTGGAATGGAATGCAGAGAAAGTGCGAGATGGGTGGAGGGCGGTGGAGGCTGGGCTGTGTACTAAACCACAGTTTGACAGTCTAGTGCACTGCAGACAGACAGCAGAACAGGACTTGGAAAAATATGCTACTTTACTGACATTATATAATGACTCTCCTCTTCTCTCCTCTTTGTCTTGTCTTTTGTCCAATATAATTTTTCTCCTCTCTTTTCATCTTGTCTGTTCCCTATGTTTCCCATTTTCTTGTCTCATTTACTTCGTCTACTTCTGTTCTTTTGCTCTCTAGTTTCTTCTCATCTTGTCTTCTTGTCATTTTATGTCCTGTCTCTCCTATTCTATCTTGATTATTGCTGTTCAGTTTGTGCAGGTGAATGTTGGGATTGTCTCATTATGTCTCATGCTATATTAAGGTGTAAGTAGGGCAAAGAACTGCAAATTTGTTTGTCTAAAGATCATAACATTTTTAAAACCACATTGGGCTGCACCACACCTTCTGAGGGATTGCATGGGTCTGTTTTAGTATTGTCTAGCACCTCCTTCTCACACTGATAAGTTGTTTATAGTGCTGGTGTCATCACTGTCTGGTTTGCATTACATTCTGGTCCTCTGTTAATGCTGTATAGTGAAGAGTCTTCCATACAGCTGAATATCCATCGTTATCAGGTCAATGTTGAGTTTCTCTAAAAGCATGCTTGCAGGAACACTTATTTTAAGATAATTTATAAAAGCCAGTGACCTACATATAGAGGATCATCGCCGCCTGAGATCCACAAATCTCTTTAAAGTTTTTGGCCCAGTGAAACTATCCCACAAACTCCTGCAGCTAAGCATTTTCAGATCCTCAGAGGACATCCTAGTGTTTTAGTTGTCGTGATGTTGTGACGTTCTTCCAAATGTTAACATTTATGGAACAATATCCAGCAGCAGAATCACCGGTTTGATAGTTTTGCATCTGAGAATTACAGCTAAACTTGACAACTAGCTATCGTAAAATAAAATGCTGTTAAAGGGGACATATGATGCGATTTCAACTTTTCCTTTCTCTTTGGAGTGTTACAAGCTCTTGGTGCATAAAGAAGATCTGTAAAGTTGCAAAGACTAAAGTCTCAAATCCAAATAGATATTCTTTATAAAAGTTAAGAGTCAACCACGCCTACCTAAAACGGCTCGTTCCAACATGCCCCCACATATCTACGTCACGATGTGGGAAGATTTGCATAACACCGCCCAAATGTTCACGCAAAGAAAGAAGGCGTAACTTTTATTCTCGCTATAGTATTGTTGTTGCCGCCGCCATGTCGTGGAGATTGCGAGTGCGTTTCATTGTGAAAGCGAAACTACTTTGTTTGGCCTTCCAAAAGAGGACATGACTAGAAATAAGTTGTATTTACAACACTGTTCCAGAACAGTTCAACCCAAATATTCAGATGTGTGC